TGCCCAGCACTCCCAGGACAGACAGGAGGAATGTGTACAGACACAATAGCACACAAGAAAAAGTCTGGCCCAGCAACCCTGTCTTTGCTGCCATGACAGGGGGTACATTAGAGCTCTCAGGGTTTTACTGGACAACTTATGACAGCACTGGGGGCTGCTGCCAAATTCCAGGCCAGAAAGCCATAGATTCCAGATCACATTACCACCTCTATTGGAACCTCTACACCACATGTCCCATTCAGACTGTAAGAGGGCTCCAGTGAGACCCTCCCTTGCTGCACATGTACAAATGGATGGATGGCCTCTGTCATCTGCTCTGGGTTCCCACACTCAGGGATGCTCAACATACAGGAAGACACTGAAGAATTCACATTTGCTCTCTTCTTCAATACTTCTAAAGAGAGGGCCTTCTTCTCTGCATTTAATTTTATCTAGTGATGGGCAGGCAGCAGGAACTCACATATCCTTTCTCAACTGCACTCAGCCAGGGGGCAGGCTATGTGAACAGACAGGCAGGGGAAAAAAAGGTTAGGGACATCGGTCGCCTCTGTGATCTAGGCAGATGCTGGCCCTGGAATAAGAGGCACAAGGCAGGAGGGCAGGCAGGGCTCCATTTTCAGGCCTAGAGACCTCATCTGCAAAACTGAGACCTGGGACACAGAAAGGGATGGCAATTCACTCTATACAGATGTATACATGTTTACCAAGATTTCAATCACAAGAACCACAAATCCATTAGCCCGGCCAAAGCACCATATCCAGTAGGCTGCTTTACAGTCAGTTCACTATGCAGAGCAGCAGGTTGTACTGAGTTCCGCTCATGGAGCCCAGGGAAGCACTTTCTTCAGCTGAGTGTTGGCCTAGGGTCTTGGTCACTGGGGCTCAGGCAGACATCTCCACATGCGACAAAGGCACAAAGCCAAGCATTGCAATGTTGTGGCTAGGACACTGCTGCGGGTCCACCCACCTGCTGACACCCAGCCATGATGTCACCCATGGAAGACCTGCCTTGGGCATTCCTTCATGGGAACCATCCTCCAGTAAAAACAGTAAGAACTCTACTTGTCACTGCACAGGTACAGAGCTAAGTCTACCGACACAGAATATATATATTAAAGCATCTCGTTTCACCTAAAAGTTCACAGACACCCCTATTTCTAAAACTTCTGGCAGATCCCTAAAGTAACAATGAGGCTGTATGGGCACTCTTGTGCCTGATGGATAGATAAATCAACCCTGCTTTGGAGAGTGGGGAGCAGTTAGGTTTCCTTGGTGCAGTTCAGGAGTATCGACATAGACAAAAAAAAAAAAAAAAAAAAAAAAAAAAAGTGACCTGAGTTTCTCCACCACACACAAAACTCCAAGAGAGAACCTAAAGTATTTAATCACATCACACACAAAGCAGTAAGTGCTGGGCACCACTGAGAGGACTCTGTCCCCTGCACACGGGGTTTGGTTTACTCCCAGAACCTCCGTGGGGCCAGGCTAGACTTGTGTGATGTAGCGTTTCATTAAGAGGCAATAAGCCACCAGCCATCGCTGTCCAGAACTGAAACACTGGCACAAAGCCACAGTTGGGCGGACAGCTGGGACACCAGGTGCCTCCACAGGCTGCTCTCAGCCCCCAGACTTCCACTCAGCCCAGCAGAAGCTCCTGGCCAGTGGCTCCCAGAGCACGCGGTGCTCGACAGACGTGGGTCCGAAGGCGACATCCTCGAGGCTCCGAACCCAGGTATACTCCAACTTGTGCCCGGGCAGGGGACGAGAGGCCCGCAGCCAGGCCTGGCCTGTGCCTTGCCGAGGCGCAGTGGCCGCGCAGCTGCCGCGGGTGGAAGGACGTCCCCGGCCCCACCCCCCGACCGCGCCCCCACCCCCGGCGCCGCGCACCTGGCCGCAGCGGCTCGGTGACCGTGAGAACCAGCAGGAAGAGCAGCAGGAAGGCACCGCTGTCTGCCTTGGGCACCATTTATCCTCCGTTCATCGTCCCCGGGGCAGCGGCGTGACCCCGCGGGGAGGCCGGACCTGGCCCAGATGAGGGCGTGAGGCCGGACTCCGGCCGGGGACAGAGAGGTGGCGGGCGAGGGATCCGGCTAGGCCGCGGCGACGCTGGGCAGCTGCAGGGGGACGCCGCCGACTCGCGCGCACTCTAGGCCGCAGGAGCGGGACGGGATTCCGGCTCGCGCAAGATGGCGGCCGTCCTGCTCGGGCCCGCGCGACCCCGCCTCCAGCCCGCACTAACCAATGAACGCCGAGCTGGGCGCTGGGGGGCGGAGGGAAGGCAGGACGGGCACGCTCCAGACGAGGGGCGGGGCGTGAGCAGGAGCGCCGGAAAGAGGCCAGGCCAAGGCACTGGGCGGCAGTGGGCGGAGTCTGGGGCGGGCTTATAAGAAATGAGGCGTGCCATTGGCTGAGCCGAGAGGCGGGACTCGGGGAACTGAGCCTTGGCGGCGAGGTGGTCAAAGGGGTCCCTAGTGCTGGTTAGGATCACAAGGACCAACAGTGTACGGGACCCGGGTCTGGAGGGGGTAAGAGTGGGAACCTGGGATTAGAGAATTGAGGAGGCAGCGTAGGACCTGAATGATCTTTACTCCTGGAGGCCCAGGTCCGTCCCAGTGCCCAACATACACCCTAAAGCACTCTTCTAAAGGCCGAACCTCTGTGGTGAAAGTGAAGAAATCCAGAGGGCTGGCAGGCTCCGAGAATGGGGAAAGAACACAAAACAATTTCACCAGAGGAGCAAATGGCCTAAGGGATGTCAGAGAGAGTAACAGAAAAGCCCAGATCCTCCGGACCAGACCTTGGGGAGGTCCTACCTATACCATGAAGGAGAAAGGCCAGGCAGAGATGAGGCTAAAGTCTGGAAACAAGGCTCCACGTGCTGACCTCACACCTCCCCTCATGAACAGCATGGAAGTGAAAAACAGCAGATGCTGAAGCAGTCTGTTCCAGGGGAAGGACCACCACCTGTGTCCAGGCCCAGCTCTGGGGAAGGACGGAAGAGAAAGGGGGAAAGCCAGTCACCTCAGCATACCTAACTCACTTTAGTGCCCCTCCACCAAGTCCCAGGATTCCAATCTGTGATACCTGGAGCCATGTGAGTGACAGACGCTAACTCCTTGTAGGTGGATAAAGGCAAGTTCAAAACCCCAGATTAGGTCAAACCATCAGATATTCCAACTTCCATAGGTCCTGGCCCCAGGGCAGATGTTGGACACAGGACTTGTCACAACAGAGGGAGAGGCCCTTGCTGGCAGAAGCAAAGATACCTATCCAGCACTGCCCTTGGCATTTGCACAGTCCTGGTGGCACATTCCCAGCACTCAGTACAAGATCCAGGCCCAGCCTTCTGCCCCTACACCAAACCCCACTCCAAATCTGCCTGGGAGCCCAGCCAGCCATGGGTTTGGCAGGTCCTTAGGAGGGAACTCACAGCCAAGTGCAGAATTCCTGCCAATTGTCAACCTGCAGCACCACTGTTAGGAGACCAGGAAAGGTTTGGGTGAGGAAAGAGCAGGACAGGAAGGGAAAAGTCCAACTGAACCCCACAGTGAAGCACAGTGTTAGCCAGAGGAGGTACAGGGCCTGAACAAAGATGAACCCTCACCCTTCTCAGCCCTGCTCTGTGCCTTTGAGGGTTGCCTGTGTAAACAGGATCCAGTGCCGAGGGGTGGGGGTCACGAATGGTTTCCTTATCACTGGCCTGTGGAGGGGTGGCCCCCTCCATTCCCTTCCCCTACCTTAGGGAGCTACATTACCTACAGGGTTCCCTACATTTTGCTCCCACCTTGGTGATGCACCCCTTTATCGAGACTCCTTCTGATTATCCTTAATTGACCCTTGGCTGATAGGACCACCCACCCTGGAGCCCCTGAATTGACCTGGTTTGCAATAGTGAGCCATGCCGCTATACGGCAGTTCAGTTTTTAGGTTTAGAAACATGGGCAGACCTTTGTGTCCCATAACCCTCTCTTACCTGAGGTGGAGCCAAACGTGAAGCCGTTTTGTTCACTTTTAGTCTGCTCCAGCACACTGGCAGACTATGGGTGTAATTATTAAGGCCACTCCACGTAGTTAAAAGGAGATTTATTTAATGGCGTAACTTACAAATTAAGGGATAGGTAGATCGCGGGGTCTGGGGAAGGTGTATCACAGTCCAGCAGTGTTCTCTGGAGCTCTGCTTGGTCCACCTCCACTATCCAGGGTCCCAGAACCGAGTGAGCGCCCCCCAATCCAGATCTGGGGTCTCCAGGCACCTCCCTTGGCCCTGCCTTGTAGGTGTGACAGTTGCCAAAGTCTCAATGGGGGTTGGAACTTCCAGATCAAAGCTGGAATGGTTACCCACTACAGCAGACCTTCTAGGTTCCAAGTCCAAGTGGCTCAGGTAATAGCCTCATTTCCCCCAGGGCACTACTCCTTTGTGACTTCACCCACTAAGTCACCCCCGGAGACAGTGCTGAATGTTCCATGCTAGAGTCTTGGCCTCTTAGGAGGCAGGGACAGCAGGCCTGGCCAGCTCAGAGGACTCTCTGTCTACAGTGTAAATGAGGACGCTGCTGGCCCATGTCTGGCAGGGATGTAGAGGGCAGCCTCAGAGGCACTGGGCACTCCCGGCAACATGGATGACGCTGCCGTCCTCAAGCGACGAGGCTACATCATGGGGATAAACTTGGGAGAGGGCTCATACGCCAAAGTCAAATCCGCTTACTCTGAGCGCCTAAAGCTCAACGTGGCGGTCAAGATCATCGATCGCAAGAAAGCCTCCATGGACTTCCTGGAGAAATTCCTTCCTCGGGAGATTGAGATTCTGGCCATGCTAAACCACCGCTCTATTGTCAAGACTTATGAGATCTTTGAGACCTCTGATGGCAAGGTCTACATTGTCATGGAGCTTGGGGTCCAGGGTGACCTCCTTGAATTCATCAAAACCAGAGGAGCCCTGCAAGAGGATGATGCTCGTAAGAAGTTCCATCAGCTTGCCTCGGCCATCAAGTACTGCCATGATCTGGATGTTGTCCACCGAGACCTCAAGTGCGAGAACCTTCTGCTTGACAAGGACTTCAACATCAAACTGTCTGACTTCAGCTTCTCCAAGCGCTGCCTGAGGGATGATAGTGGTCGACTGACATTAAGCAAGACCTTCTGTGGGTCAGCAGCTTATGCGGCCCCCGAGGTTCTGCAGGGCATCCCCTACCAGCCCAAGGTGTATGACATCTGGAGCCTGGGTGTGATCCTCTACATCATGGTCTGTGGCTCCATGCCCTATGACGACTCCAACATCAAAAGGATGCTACGCATCCAGAAAGAGCACCGCGTCAACTTTCCATGCTCCAAACACCTGACTGGTGAGTGCAAGGACCTCATCTACCGGATGTTACAGCCAGATGTCAACCGGCGGCTGCACATTGATGAGATCCTCAGCCACTGCTGGGTGCAGCCCAAGGCACGAGGTCTGTCCTCTGCAGCCATCAACAAAGAGGGAGAAAGCTCCCGGGCCACTGAGCCCCCATGGACCCCTGAACCCACTGGTGCCGATAAGAAGTCTGCCACCAAGTTGGAGCCTAGGGAAGAGGCACGGCCCGAGGCCCAACCTGAGACAAAACTCCAGGAAGATGTGCAAGTGGCAAAGCAGTCAGAGACCCTGGGCCTTAACAGTGAACTGAACAGGGAGACAGAGGAAGGGCACCCCCAACAGCCTCCAGAGACACATACCTAGTGAGCCTCTTGCAGCCCAGGGGCCAGCAGGGAATGAGGCAGAGCTCATGGCTTGAAGCCTGAGTCTAGAAGTCAAGGGACGAGAGAGAGAAGGAAGACAGTCCCGGATGAGCTGCTATTCCCCCCTTTGAACTTGGTAACTCAACATGGCTAGAGAAGCAATAAATCACTATAATGGTGCAGACCCTGGTCCTGGGCTCCCCTTGGCTTCCTATTAGACCGCAAATCCTCATAAGGAAATTCACTCCCACGCCCCCAGCCCAGACTGTATCCTCAGGCCATGGTTGAGTTAGCAGTAGCAGACAGAGGCTGGTTGGGAGGATTTAAGAGGGGCGGAGGCCAGGGAAGATAGCTAAGTGAGGAAGACACAACTTCTGGAGGGGAGCCGAGAAGTGTAGAGAGGGACAGGGCTGCCTGCAGAGGAAGGGCTGGAAACCAGAGCCCTCTCTTGCACCGGAGGGCTTGCACCGGAGGGCTTGCACCGACTGCATCAGGAGCTCAGGGGCTAGGCAGGTGTTTCATCATTACCCCAGGGCTTCTGGCTGCACAAACCTGCCTGTAGGGGGCTGAGGGAAGACTACGGAAGGCAGGTTGACCCCCATAGTACCTTTTGGGCTCCCCAAATTGCTTTGCAGCTGGTTTTTCAGTTCTGCCCATCAAGGGATATGTCCCTCCATGTCCAGCTGGCACCCAGTTCTCAACTATGCCTTTAGTTGCTCCACATCACCATTTCTCAGCCCAGAAGTAGGGCGCTCCACTAGTTAACCCAAGAATGTCCCACAGCTCTGTATAGCTTTGGCTGCATCCCATTCTCTTCCAATCTCAATCTGTTCCAGAGGAGATGCCCTCAGTCAGAGCTGGAAGCAGACCTTGGCAAAGCAAAATTGTCAGCATGTCTGAACCTTATAGGCAAGGGAGGCAGCTACTGGTATTCCACATGGGTGTGGCCTGCATCTGGCACCACTGGCTGCCATGTGCCGCTTGCCGTGCTGACACCATGTCCCAAGCAGTCCTCACCTTGCGGTTGTGGCTCCTTTCTCTTCACCTCACTCTGGGCAACCTCAGGGAGGTCTAAGGGTTTTTAATACATAAAAATAAGGACATTTAGACTCATCTCAACCCTGCCCTCACCTGTGTCTCTACCTTGGGAAGACACTAATGCCAATTTACCCTGGAGTGAGTTCCTGTTCTTCCTGCTTCCCCCAACACATCCAGCCTACCGTGATCTCCCTGTCTGCTGTTCCACCTGTCATCTCCCAGTGTTCACAGCTACACCTAGGTTACCTCCTACCACCCTCAGAAAGGATTTCCATGCTAGCTTCTGATCTGCCCATCCACACCCCCTCATCCCTGTACCCCAACATATGTGCCAAAAGCATACTTGCCAATTCACCTCTGAAGACTATGCCAATGTCCCTGGGCTCAGCCTAGGGACTCAGTCTTCTTCAAAGCCTCCTGGGACCAAGCAACGCTCTGTAGCCCCCGCCTCTGTGAATTTTGCCTGTGAGGACCAAGTATACAGGGTTGAGGCACAGCACTGACCCTGAGCGACACTGGAAGAGAGTGACGCTGGAGAAGCCCCCTGAAGAAACTTGGATGGGGCTGAAGGCTCTAGGACATATGGGGCTAGGTGGTGGAGGATGCCCTGAGAGGTGTAGGCTCCTCCTCTCTCATCTCTGTAGTCTTCTTATGATTTGGGGGACAGAAGACACCAAGACCTGAGGCTACTTGAAATTTAAGTAGGAGACAGTGGGGGTAGGGAAGAGATGCAAGAGTTCCTGCTATGTGCATTACAGGTATAGAAATAGCTCAGAGAAGGTGGGTTCCCACCACAGAGCACAGCGCCCTGAATAGCGTTTGCAAGTGACTGAGCCCAATCCTCCTCATGTGGCCTTATCCTGCAGAACCATTCATGTGGGCTGCTGAGTCTGACTCAGCCATCTGTAGGGGCACTCAGGGGCTTTAGGACCAGGACTTCAAGGTGGCATCTATGGTTTATTCTTGTTCCCCATATCATCTTTTCCCTCTTGTCTCCCTGGGGGCTCCTCTGTACCTGGGTTATGTCACTTCCCCTTGGAAGCCTTCTGTCCTGCCTCCTCCACTAGAAAGAGGCCTTCTTGCTTTCCCTCTGAACACAGCATCCTTGGGTCACATCTTGGCAGCTCACTGTAAGCGTAAGACTCCTGTGAGATGTGAAAATGAACACAGGACTTCTAAAGTAGCCAAGATTATACAAGATGACATTTGCAAAACAAACATTAATGCACAAAATACAAGACAGAGCAGCATGCAAATGGTGAGCAGTGCTGCAGCGCTTCATGCAATCCCTGCTCACCACTCACAAACCCAAGGTGGGGGTACAGTGAGCCCCACCCCTCCACTCAGAAGCTTGCTCCTTATGGAGAATGCTAAGGGCCATCAATCCCTGAGCCATCCAGCACCAGGCCCAACACAGTCCCCTCCTCCCAGGAAAGGCCCAGGCTGGCTGTTCCCAATTCCCCCACCCTAGACCATCAGAGGCCTGCTCTGGTCCAAGGCCCTGGGCCTCCACATGCATCTCAAAGCCAACTGGCTTCTCTAACAGCAACCGTCTTAAAAATGACTTGGGTTGTACAAGGCCTGCCCATGATTTAGAGAAAAGCTCATGACATTCTCTCCTTTCCTGACTTAGCCATTCTCAGCGGTTGCTTGCTTGGTTATGTTACCAACGTTTGTATCTATCCTCCTCCACACCTGCCTACCCTGGACCCTCGGTACATCCCCTAGCACTACCTACCCTCCTATCCACACACACACACCTATTCACCAGGTCTGTGGCTCATCTGCCCACTCTGCCCAAAGACCCTTGCCAACTCCTGACCCCACACATGGAACTGCTCTCATCCAGCAGACTGGGACCACCACTGGACTGACTGGACCTGGGCAGCTTCCACTGATTTCAGGGTCACAAGCTCACAGGAGGTTTTCTTCAAACCCCAAAGAAAGGGCAGGGAATCGGCTCTCGTGAAATGAGGAACACACAGGACCAGTTCCCAAGGCCTGATAAGGAAACAGGCTTGGGAATGGACCTGGATCACCTCCCTTTGGGCCTCGCTGGTGACAATGAAGCCACAGCAAGAAGGAGGGCCAGGGAGGGTTACCACAGGCCTGAATGCCAGCTTCATTCCAGTGGGTGGGGAGGGGGTGCTCCTTCTAGGCCTTCCTGGCTTGCAGGGGCCCCATTGCCCACAGCCTAGTCCCCACTCCCAGCAGCCTGGCTTTATGACTTCATTCGCTGGTCACTTGGTGACAGTGCTGAGCGCTCCACTCCTCCAAGTCCAGGCCAGCCCAACCAGACGCCTCCCCACAGTGGGAATGAGGACAATGCTTGCTGGCCCGGGTCGGGAGGGGATGCAGAGGGCGGCGGCACCGGCCGCTCCTGGCACCATGGACGATGCCGCGGTCCTAAGGAAGAAGGGTTACATCGTAGGAATCAATCTGGGCAAGGGCTCCTATGCAAAAGTCAAATCTGCCTACTCTGAGCAACTCAAATTCAATGTGGCAGTCAAGATCATAGACTTCAAGAAAACACCCACTCACTTTGTGGAGAGATTCCTTCCTAGGGAGATGGACATCCTGGCGACTGTCAACCACCGTTCCATCATTAAGACCTACGAGATCTTTGAAACCTCTGGTGGACGCATCTACATTATCATGGAGCTGGGCGTCCAGGGCGACCTCCTCGAGTTCATCAAGTGCCGAGGAGCCCTGCATGAGGATGTGGCACGTAAGATGTTCCGCCAGCTCTCCTCAGCCGTCAAGTACTGCCATGATCTGGATGTTGTCCACCGAGACCTCAAGTGCGAGAACATTCTGCTTGACAAGGACTTCAACATCAAGCTGTCTGACTTCGGCTTCTCCAAGCGCTGCCTGCGGGACGGGAGTGGGCGCATCGTCCTCAGCAAGACCTTCTGTGGGTCAGCGGCTTATGCGGCCCCCGAGGTTCTGCAGGGCATCCCCTACCAGCCCAAGGTGTATGACATCTGGAGCCTGGGTGTGATCCTGTACATCATGGTCTGTGGCTCTATGCCCTATGATGACTCTAACATCAAAAAGATGCTGCGCATCCAGAAGGAGCACCGAGTGGACTTCCCACGCTCCAAGAACCTGACTGGTGAGTGCAAGGATCTCATCTACCAGATGTTACAGCCCGATGTCAACCGGCGGCTGAACATTGATGAGATTCTCAGCCACTCATGGCTACAGCCCCCCAAGCCCAAAGCCATGTCTTCTGCTTCCTTCAAGAGGGAGGGGGAGGGCAAGTATCGAGCTGAGTGCAAGCTGGATACTCGACCAGGCTCAAGACCTGAACACCGGCCTGACCACAAACTGGGGGCCAAACCCCAGCACCGGATGATGGTGGCACCCGAGAATGAAGACAGGATGGAGGAGAGGCTGGCTGAGACTTCCAGAGCTAAAGACCATCACATCTCTGGAGCTGAGGTGGAGAAAGCAAGTACCTAGTGGTGGAGTGGGCCCTGGGGGGTCATGGTGTGCAGTTTGCACTCACATAAGCTAAATAGGCAGGTAGGAGCTGAAGAAGGCACAGGCGCAAGGAACAAGTAAAATCCGTCAATTAAACCACTCTTTTGATTATGTTCTATTAGCTTTCTTCCACTTAGTAGCAAAGACATTAATACTGACCACCAAATAAACCACAAAGTGTATACAAGCATTGAGAGTGCCCAGTGGGGAGTCTTTTTCTCTAGGACTCATCCAGCGCGGGGATCTCTAGCATAGGGGTCCAGGAACTCAGGCCCAGGCAGACTCATTGAGGCCTGTGGCGGAGGGGACCTCTGTCATAGTCCTCTTGCCAGGCTCACACTTGGCAGCCTCTGGCCTCTCCCACCCCCAGGCTTCCAGGCGTAGACTGCACCATGCTTCCCCCTCATCTAACGCAATACAAGCTATCCTGACCGTCTTGTCCTTACCCAGGTCAGATTCCGTTAACCCCAAAGAGGCGATCAAAATTAACGAGCTTTGCTGCCTAAGCCTCACCCTCACCACTCCCAGGTGACCCGCTGACAGCTTGTGGCCGTCTTCCCCATCCTGTAGAGCTGTGGTGCTGCAACCCCCAGCATCCCTCAATGTCATTTCCTGGTTACCACCCCTCCCTAAAGATTCCCTCATGCTGGCCAGATGCTTGAGGTGGTCAGCATCTGGGCAGCAGCCATCCCCACTCTCTGCTTCCCACTCACTGGATAATCCCTTGGATTAAGGCTCAACCTTCCCTAAGAGACAACAGTACCAAAGTCCTTAGCCTGGGATCCCAGCTGCAGCCCTGCGGCTCCAGGGCACAGGAACTCACTGTGGGGAACTTCTGGTTAGCAGAGGCCTGACCTAGTTTGTTTCTATTGCCAAGATTGCCGGGCGGTGGTGGCGCACGCCTTTAATCCCAGCACTCGGGAGGCAGAGCCAGGCGGATCTCTGTGAGTTCGAGGCCAGCCTGGTCTTCAAAGCGAGTTCCAGGAAAGGCGCAAAGCTACACAGAGAAACCCTGTCTCGAAAAACCAAAAAAAAAAAAAAGAAATTTCAAAGACACCAGAGCCCCACGGCACGACAGCTGTACTTAGGTTGGAGAAGGTGGGTCTGTTGGACCCCATCCTAGCACAGGGCCAGGGGTGCCGAGGGAAGAAAACAGTCGGGGTTTCCAAGACTTCCTAAATCCTAGTGCAAACCTAAGGTGTCTTCATAGGCCTTTGTTGCATTACAGCAGCCGGCACTGAGTGTGGAGGCCAGTGTGCCGTGAGGCAAAAGAGCAACTATGCATCAAGGCCACACCCACTCTCGCCTGCCTCCCTGCAGAGACTGCAGGCCTGGAGTCCAGAACCTCCCCACTTACAGAACTCTCCAAATTTACATCTACAAGCACCACAGACGCAGGCACATCTGCCTATTCACATCACAGGGAGACCAGAACAAGACCTGGTACCCTGGGGCATCTCAAGGCACGTCTGCTTAGTCTAACCTGTATACTGCCCTGTCCAGCCTGGGCTCACAGCCTGTCTCTTACCAGGAGCAGGAGAAGGAGTGGCAACAAACCCGAAGCCGCCCACTCGGGGGGACTCCTGCGGAATAAGCTCCTTGCCGTCAGGGCCGACCTTGCCCTGCTTGTGCTGGAAGAGAGAGAGACCAGCATCAGGGTGTTCTCCACAGCTGACCGATGGCAGGTGGAGCGGACACAGAGGAAACACTTCTCCTCCTTGGGATAGGCTGGGACTCGAGGACTGGCATATCACTTTGGGAAAGAGCAGGAAGACCCCCATCCTCATCTCTCCTCAAGGACTTTGAGGACTGTGGTAGTGAACATCAAGCAAGGGGTGCCCCTTTCCTCTACCTGAGGAGGAACCTCTTGGGTTGCAATGCTACAAAGGGCTGCTGCTCTCTTTCCCTTGAGGCATCTGAATCTTCCCAATCTCCTGCCTCTCTTCCCCCAACCCCATGACGACCAGAGCTACCCTCTGAGGGCACTTACTCATCTTGATCCCAGGCCCTAAGCAGCCAGGCTCCTCCTGCCACTTCCTAGTATATATTGCTTTACTCACCTCCCTGCCTGATAGATAGGTATGGGTCTGGGTTGGCTTCCAGAAGCTTCTCTCCCCTCAGGCCAACATCATAGTGGCTGATACAGGGCTGGACCCATAGGTCATACATCTGGTCCATTGGAAGGGGGATGGGTCCTGTCACAGGGGCTGTTTTGCCAATTAAGCTCTATCTGGCCTCAGGACAAACCTAACTTAGAGAGGCCACATCTCTCCACAGTTAGCCCATCACATGTGTCCAGTTGCCTGGTGGCTCTGCTGACTCACCTGGGCATTCAGGGCAGCTGCCTGCTGAAGCTGGGACCTGCTCAGGGCCTGACTGAAGGGGTCCCGGAGGAAACGTGTGTTCTTGTGTACTACCTGCCGTGGTTTCTTAAATAACTGTTCTTCATCAGGGACACCTATGAGAGGAGGAGCCAGGTAGCAGGCGTCACGGGGAGAAGCTCCATGCCCCACCTCAGCCCTAGAGGTCATGGAGCTTGAGGGGCGAAAGCACACTCCCTCAGCTAATTACTCCCAGGCAAGCGCCACACCTACAAAACCTGAACAAAGCAGTGCAGGGAGACCTCAATGCCCCACAATGTCACATGTTCCCCAACCCCAAGGTGGACCAGGACTTCTCTCGGGTCCACGCTGCAAGCTAACACATATATAGACTTTAAACATTGGCTCAAAGATAACAAGACAAACCCCCGGGCCCCCGTCTTGCTGTCCTGCTCCTTGGTTCTATCCACTCACCCTCAGGATAGTACATGAGCGAATTCTTCGCCTTATACTTCCAGGTCTCCACTCCAGCCTGGCCACTCTCAATGGCTTGGTGCTCTGCCGACGGGAGTTCAAGATTATCTTTCTGTCGCTAGAGTGACATGGGGGGAAAGCAGGGTCAGGGAGGCGCCCAGACTTTGTACCTGTGGCCCTGGGACTCCATCCCCAAAGAAGGTGCCTATGTTTCAGACTCCAGGGCTACCTTCTCAAATTCCTCCTCAGCTTGGTAGAGCCACGCATGGCGGGCGTGGCTTTTTTCCTTGGCCACCTCCATGATCTCCTGGAAGGAGGCATTGTCCTCACTTGTATAGCGGCTCAAGAAGACATCCAGGCTGGGCAGCGGCTCCTTCTCCTCCTCATCTCCAGCCTCTCCTGCTCAGGGGTCACAGGTAGGGAAACACAATACCACACACAGCACGATTACCACTCTGTAATCCTTGCTCCTGCCAGATGACACAACACACCCCAACTGTCCAGGTGGCATCCTCAGTGACTGGCCAGCTCTTCTCGTGATCTGGCTGACGGGTGAAGGGGCAGGGACAAGCAGGAGCTCACGGTGACGGTTGAGTAGGCTCTTCCTCTCCCAACTGTACTGTTTGTAAGATTGACCTTCGAAGTCCCAGGGGCTCTTCTTCCCTCCCTGGGATTGCCTTACCCTTCCTGACTGGTGCTGCAGGTGAGTTACAGTCACTATGCATCAGGGTATGCCAGTTAACTCCTAAGGCAGGAGCCCATATGGCCCAGCGCTCCAGGGAGGGCCACACGGACTCTGGGCCACAGAAGCCAACCACAGCATCTCGATCCCTGTCACCAAGGCGAGTGATACTCCTGCAGAGGCAGCACTGGAGAGCTCAGGGGCATGTGAAGCTGAGGCTTCTCATCCATTCTACTGACAGTCTTGACTGTGTGCCAGCCAGTGCCAAACACAGTGGCTAGAAGTTCAAGACCTGGGCTAGAAAGGGGGCAGACCTGGGTCCCTTCAACTGTTGACTATTTCTGACACCTACAGAAGTTACAGCCTTTGGAAGCCTGTTTCCTTATTTGCAATTACAAGGACTCCAATATTTACTGATAAAATATATGTGTATAAAAAGAAGAGCATTTTCAAATTGCTGTGACTCTATCGTATTTCATTCAAGAGTTCAAGCTCCAAGAGTAACTCTGTGTTCACGGCAGAAAAAGCTGGGCTGTTGAGAAACTACGCTTGTGTGAGCATGTTGTACATATGCCTGGGTACAGTATGCAGTAGACTAGAGCTTGGTAGAGAAAACATCCTGCCCACCTCTAGGGATATATCCAATTACTGATAAAAAGATCAACTGACCCATACAAGTCCCTTAGTATACGGTACACTCACATATTCAATAAATAGATTCATAAAGTGTTCCTCCTCACTTTAAGATACATCCCATAGTTATATCCGATGTTCAGGAAACATGTTGAAGACAACACATTCATCTGCTCTACATATCTGTTGATAGTGCAGCATACCATATGCTAATGTGGTATATGCTAATGCTAAATGTGGAGCACACAGATGGAAGCAAGACCAAGACCCTGCTCTCTGGGAGGCATTCGAATTAGTGATTAGGGTGAGAGGCAATAAACAGAAGTGCTTTCCAAAATGTTATATCCTGCAGTGAAACACAAAGCCAACAATGTGGGAAACAATGAGACTCTGGTCTCAACCAAACAAACAAATCAGAAAAACAAAGGCAGTCTGAGCGGCATAGAGCCCCAGGGTGTTCCAACTTTACACAAAAGGCTGGGAACCTCAACGCAACATCAACATAACGTCCACACAAGTTTCTGCCTCTCAGCCCAAACAGGTCACACCTGAACCCGGGACCCGAAGGAAGAGACACAACAAGCAACTGGTGTGGAAGAAAGGAAGAGAGCCTGCGGCATCTTCAGCAGTCAGTAATGAAAGAGTCCCCAAGCCACAAAGTCTCCAAGGCAAAGGCTGGCACACCCAACAGCCTGGTGACAGTAATGGACTCTCTACCCTCGGAGAGGCCAGAGGCCCAGACCACTGTTCCTCCACAATGGAGTTGGATAATCTTCCGCTTCCCACACCAGTGTCTTTGATCCCAAAAGTTGATACTTAGGTCAGGAGACCCCCTCAAGGATGAAATGTGATTCTGAGAAAACTCAACATGACTCCCAAGCACTCTTGACCATGAGGCCTAAAGAGTGAGTTCACTCACCATCCTCTAGGTCCCGACCCTGGGGCCGGGGCTTGCTGCCCACCACACCAGAGCCTGGATAAACCTCAGGAGTTTCAAAGGTGGCTGGAATAACATCTGAGGGAAGCAAGTTAGAAATTAGATCGAGTCTAAAGTGACAATAGACTTCCCCTCTCTGCCCTGTGTAACGGCATCCTCTTACAGGGTGGTGGAGGTTCCCGAGATATCTTGCCCAGGGCAGAGCCAAACTTGATGGCAATCTGGCGCATGCGCTCCAAATCTCCATTTTCCTCAGCCTCCAGGTATTCCTTCTGTGCCTGTAGTTTCTCCACATCGGGGAAGAAATCTCTCTGGATGACTGGAGTCCCTATCATAAGCAATCAGAACAAAGGCCAAAGCTGGCATCTGGGAGCCACGACTCACAGTCCACCGTTATCCACGTTAGGCCCTAAGGTCCTTTCACTTCGGCCTATCTGGATGATTGCGGTTTGCAAGACAGTTTAGAGCATTTTCTAGTATGCTGTTCATCCCATATGGCTCTGATGTATTATCTAACATTACCCAACAATCTCTTGATGTCTATAAAATCCTTCACCAGCTGGTCTTTCTCATTCTCCTTTGCTGGCTCCGTCTACAACACCAGTCAGACTAATGTGGATATTGCCATCCTCATTCCATCCATGAATTCTTACTTCAATCCAAACCTTTCTCTTGAAAGCCAGTCACCACTAACGCCACCACCGGATGAAATTCCCAAGATTTCACCTTCAGTCAGACCTTGCTGTGGATCTGCAAATCTCTATACCCAGTGGCGTGGTGAAGGTACATACATGCCAGCATAATTTAACTAGTCTAAATCCAGACCTATGTCAGCTTGCCCTCCAGCATGTTTGCAGTGGGACCCCTAACTCGAGGAGCAACAGAGACCCTCACTCAATAACACGGCCAGTACCGCGGCCTATTTCCAGGACTTTACACTTAATGTCTTCGCCATCATCTAAAAACATGTAAAAATTCTACCCATATTTCAATTGGAAACTTTTTCTTTGACCCTCAACAGACAGCAGGACCGCTCCTTTCCGCTGAAAACTGGACACCCGCTTCTGCACTGTTTTCTTGGCTCTCAAGACTTCCCAAACCCAAAGGCAGCTGCTCCGCTTCCACAGGCGGCTGAGAGTTCCCAGACCAGAAAAAAAATCAAAGGACTGGAGAAGAACGCGAATCGGGGGAGGGGCCCGGAAGTCGCCAGCGCTCGCCCTGAGCTGGTACCTCGATGTACTCTTCTTCATCCAGAACCCGCTGCTTGCTTCTCGCAACCCCGGTCTCCCCGGCCGCGCGCTTCCTCGGGGGCGCGGACGCGGAGGGCACAAACAGAGATCCCGCTGAGGCCCCGGGCGTCCCCATCGCTATCCCAGAACCGCTCGGGCGCCGTAGGCACCGCACCAACAGCCAGCCAATGGAGAAGCAGTAATTTTGTAACAAAGCCGGCGCTCCAATGACGTCATTGGGAGCGCCGGATCTTAAGGGAGTTGTAGTCTTTGATCCCCACCCGCGTTGCTCGTGCCTGTCTAGACTATGGTCACTAGGGGGCGCTGTGGGGTGACTATTTGACGCCACATTCCCCCTGTTAGAAGTTCCATTTTTTCCTCAAAAAACCAAAAACAACAAAAAACCACTGCATATGCTTCAAAGTCTTTTTTAAATACTTCAAAAAAAAAAACTTGGTCATATATAACTTCAAAACTCAGAGAAAGAACACTAAGACAATAGATAGTTATCTAACAAAAGGTAAATGAAAAGAAAGAATCGGAGGGCGCTTAAATCTCTGGTTCGATTTATTAGTTCTCCACCTGCCGGGGTGGGCTTCCCAAAAGAGGCCTGCACTCACTGAAAGCATTCATGGGACTTCCATCGTAAGGGAGATCGTGAATTACCCCAAACAAACAAGTTCTAACCCAGAATGATTTGGTACAATTTTGCTTTTCCAATGGTCTCTTCCTTCACTGGGAGTCACTGGGGACTTTATGGCTCTGTCCCTGCCCCCATAGCGTTCACCATAATAATAAAGAAACACACACATTAAGTCATCCTGCAAATGTGTAAAATCACGCCTGTGACTTGCAAGAAGTCTGTACTCAGAGAATCGTGACTTCTACACAGGACATGTATCAAGTGGCATTTCCCAGGCAGATCGTATCCAAAAGAGGAATGGATAGGCATCAGTCAAGTGGAGCGAGAAAAGACAGGCAAAGGCCCAGGATGGAGCAAGGCAAATTCCAGCGCAGGCCTTTGGTTACACAGTGCAGTGCAAAGGATGGATGTGACAGCGGGTTGGGGGGCAGAGCCAGGCTCACAGTATCTTTGGGGTCCTGGCAAGAAATATTATTTTTGTTTTGGATTAAAGGGAGGCTGAGTGGTTCCGGTGAATATAACTAGAGAAAGCTGCAATGGTCATGGCGCAAGGTGCCAGCAGTTTTTGTCAGGTTAACCAAGCTTAAGTGCAGAGAAGCCAGTTTCAGTGGGGTTTACCGACCCGTTTGGAGGTGAGACTGGATGGGCCTGGTGTGATTAGGTGAGGGACAGAGGGCTACTGGCGATCAAGAACTCATGTGTCTTAAACAAGGCCAACGGCTCACTGTACACAAGGCAAGTGTGAGGAGGCTGTGGGTTTCCAAGTGTTGTCAGGGGGGGCCTGGACTGGAGACGGAAATATATGCAACAGAGGTGGGGATTGGAGCTCGAGGATGAAAAAGACACATCAAAAAGAGAGTGGAGGGGGGTGTAGAGATAGCTCATCCTTTAAAAGCACTTGCTGCTCTTCCGGATGATCTGGGTCCAGTTCCCAGTACCCACATGGTGGCACACAACTCCAGTTCCAGGGGTTCCAATACCTTCTTCTGATCTCTACCAGCAGCAGGCAGACATGTGGTTCACATGCACACACGCAGGCAGACATGTGCACACGCACACACGCGCGCGCGCACACACACACACACACACACACGCACGCACGCGCACACACACACACACACACACACACACGCATGCACGCACGCACGCACACACACACTGATTATTTTTCAAAGAAGAGAATGGAGATGGGAGAGGCCTTGGAAGGGAGCCTCTGGACACTTGCTAATGCCAGGTGCCAGGTGAGGGCTGCGAGGAGTCTCTTCAGGGGACAGTGACGGTGAGAGGAGGGCAGAAGCTCAGGTGAGCTCAGATTCTGGAGAACGGAGGAGGTCAGGGGCCTGGAACCCAGCACAATGTGAATGCCCAAGCCTGCAGGTGAGCTGACCTCCTGGACAGCTGCGTCTGAAGGAGACAGTGCAGTCTTCGAAGGCAAGGCCAAAGTTCAGGAAGAAGAGTCTGGTGGCGCCTTACATGTGCATCCAAGGGACTGGGGAGGAGAATCGCCAATCCTGGAGGTCTCTAGCAGTGTTAGAACAGCTCTGGCTGGGGATACATGCCTGCTCAGTGTTCTCCAAACCAGCCATCTTTACACAGTGCCAAGACCTCCTGCCATTGGTTCTAGAGTTTAGCTTTCATGGATGGACCACATCTCTCACAGATATCACCACACCAGGACCTGTGAGGAGACAGAGTAAGGAGATTAGGCCAGGTGCAGGGGTGTTAGCTGCCTCCAGCTGACTGCACAGGTCAGCAGGGAGTGGAAGCCATGCTTTCATGCTGTGGTGTACCCCAACACACTTCTGTGTGACCATGACTATAGAAGGGAAGACAAAATTCCCCAAGATGGTGGGGTGGGATGTTCCCTGAATGTAATCTCCTCTTGCCCGCCCTAGTGGCAGATGCCACTGTACAGAAACCTCCAAGGACAAGAAGCCAAAGGTCTCCCACCTGTGAAGCAAGTTGGTGGTACTTAGAGGCCATAGCAAATCCCAGGAGGCCTTGCCACCATCCACCGGCTTTAATCCTGATGGGGGAAACACAGGACTGGGATGAAGACCTGTTGAACTGGGCTCTCTAAGACGTGCTGACCCCCCGTTCCCTGGAAAGGGGGAGGGGAGCTAGCCCCTCTATAGGTGTGGAAATGAAGCCTGAGACATTCGGACTTGGGATTCTGACTCTTCTGTGGAATTTGTAGATCTTGTTTATTTCTTGGTATCAGCACAAGGCTGAGATGAAGGAGCAGGTTCAGGGATCTGGAAAATACCAACCTTCTTATTCCACAGGTCCTGACACCAAGGTCCAGTGTTGAACCTTTGAGGACCTGTGCCGATGCCACTGCCTGGCTTAGAAGGTGGAAGACTAGATAAGGGGCCAGTCCCGGAGGCAGGCAGGAGGTGGGGAGGGAGACTCCACTGGAGAGGATTTGGGGCCCTGGGTGGAGTTAGGGCCTCTTTAGGCAGTAATGGTGCCTGAGGAAGCTGACCTGCTCTTTACCTGCAGGAGATCTCTGGTTCCTGCCCCATGTGCCCTCCCTTCATAGGTGAGGAGGTCTTGGATTCCCTCTCTCTCAGCACTGGGCAGCTGGAAGACTGCGGTCCTCTCTTAGTTTCTGTTCAAGTAGGTCTGTCTCCCTCCTACTTTCTTGTGCTCCACGTCACTGCCCAAACCAGGAGACACTCCAGACACTGTCAACAGCTGTCCTTGGGAGGTTTCTTGGTTCCAGACAGGAGCCTCGCTGACGAAGCACGCTTTTGGTGTCGCCACTTGGCCCGGCGGTTCTTGAACCAGACCTGAGGAGGAGAGGGACCAAGACAGCTCAGGGTCCATGGACCCACACCCAAAGAACTTCGGAAGGGCTTGTAGGTGAGCGGGGGTGGTAGGCTTCACCACAGAGGTGTAGGTGAATGGACCTGCGTCACTTCCCTTATCCACACACAGAAAAGGACCTAGACTCCCTGCACGGAGATTTCCCAGTCTCCTCAGTCTTGGCCCACTAGCAACCAGGATATCTCTCTCTGTCTCCATGTGTTTCATAGTCCCATGTAATCTAGGCTGGCTTCTGAGTCGCTATGTGTCAAGGACAACTTTGATGAATTCATGATCCTCCTGTCTCCACCTCCCCGAGTGTTAGAATTACAGACGTGTGCCACAGTGCCTGACTAGTTTTGCACATTTCTTAACTTGCCTACATCTGGGACATGAATGGAAAGCATTTTTCATCAGCAGGGGAAAGGGGGAAGACAGACGAAGTCAGAGACAACGACTCTTTTTTTTTTTTTTTTTGGATTTTCGAGACAGGGTTTCTCTGTGTAGCTTTGCGCCTTTCCTGGAACTCACTTGGTAGTCCAGGCTGGCCTCGAACTCACAGAGATCCGCCTGGCTCTGCCTCCGGAGTGCTGGGATTAAAGGCGTGCGCCACCACCGCCCGGCCGAGACAACGACTCTTAACCCCAGTTCCGGCGACACTCAAAGAACCTGCTGGGGGAACTGGTCCTGCGCCCCCCATCCACTGATCCTGGGGGGGTTTCCCTCCAGCGTGGAGGGCTATGAGGTGAGGCACACTCTGGAAGGTCGGTCTTTGAGAGAGAAGAGTGACGCGGGAGTGGCCTCCGGGCTGCGGGCGGACACCCACCTCCACGCGCTCCTCTCGCAGGCGGATGCGGACAGCCAAGCGCTCCCGCGTGCCCACGTCGGGATACTGGTTCTGCACGAAGAGGGCCTCGAGCGCCTGCAGCTGCTCCTCGCTGAAGATGGTGCGGTGGCGCCGCGTGCGCCGCTGCGGGCCGGGGCCGCTCGTGCCGGTCAGCGCCGGCGAGCCTGCGCTCGGCGCCGTCAGGGGCGAGGGAGCGGCGGGTGCCAGCCTCAGCGGCCACGCTAGCCGCACGCCTGCGGGGCGGGGCGAGGGCGCGTCAGGCAGAGGGTGAGGGTTAGGGTTGGAGCCGAGATCGCCCCGCCGGCCGCCCTGCGAGATCCCGGGGCTCGGCCCGCCCCGCCCCGCCCCGCCCCGCCGCTCGCACTCACCGGGTCCGGACGCGGGCTCCGGGACTCCGCGGGGTGCTGCTCGCGGGCCGCAGCAACAGCAGCAGGCGCAGGGCGCAGCGGCGGCAGGCGCCTCGGGCTCGTCGGGCTCAGCGGGGTTCCGGCCACCGGCGGGCTGCAGCGGCCGCGCCGCGGGCCTGCGTTCAGGCAGGCTGGAGAGGATGTGCTCGATGGAGAACGGGCAGGGTCGTCCAGGGTCCCTGCGGCTCGCCGCGCTGCCTGCAGTCGCCATGCCCGCGGGTCGCCGGAGCGAGCGGCCGAATATATACGTCGGGGGTGGGAGGTGCGGTAATCCCCGGGCCGGGCGCCGCTTTCGCGCGTGCTAATCCCGTCGCTAGTCCTCAGAGAGCTAATCCCCGGCCACCGAGGAGGGAGAGCCACTGTCTGGGTGCAGGGAGCCGCGCTGTCAGGAGGGAGCCCTGTGCTCGGCCACGTCCAGAGCTGGAGGGAAAGGAGGTGGTCAGGAGCCCACTCTATCTCCTGTGGCGCAGTCGCCTGCTGGGAGAGATGCCAGGATCCTGGAGACCTCTGAGCCCAGAGTCCCTGCCACCGCTCTGCCCTGGCTTTCCTTGTTCTGTAGCCACCCATGAAAGTGAAGCAGATTCCTGGAATCCAAATTTCTCCCTCCCCTACTTTGAATGAGCCCAGCACCCTTGGCAATCAGGTGATCCCACTTCACAGCACTTGCTCACTTTGGAGCCCAGGTCTGAACCTCCACGGTGGGAAGTTGAGGCTGACCCCCAACTCAGAGATTCATCCGCTTCTTGTCTCCCGAATGCTGGGAGAGCCACCAATTCTGTGCGGTCTTTCCAGGGTCTAGAAGGTTTTTCTAATGCCGTCTAAGGCCGATCCTCTTGTTACCTCCTATCTTAAAAGACCTGATGCCATTGCCCCAACTCCCTCCAACATCAATATCCCCCTCACACCACAGTGCCTAAGAGCGGTCTCACATGCTCCTCCGCTACTCTCCGCCCGGCTGTTCTGCTCTGCCTACAATATAACCCCTGTCCACTATTCTTCCCACCAGAGACCACCACTTGGCCTAACTTAGGCCATCGTCAATTACGAAGCTTTGGACCTCCAGCACTTTGCTTAGGCACTTTGCTTTTGATCTTTGAAAATACGTTGTGTGTCTCACAGGACAGCGCAATAGACCGCCTCACCTTTCCTAAGCTCTCCTGGCTGTGTGACATTCCAAAGGCTCCTCTTGGGTTGTCCAGTGTCATGATACTGTCAACTATCAAGAGTCGGCCTTAAGGGGCAAGTGTTGAGAACGGAGAGGCAGTTTGTAATAGCAGGATCTCAGGGCTCCAGTGGCTGAGGCAAGAGGATTGCTGGGAGAGGAAGGCCAGTCTGGTGAGATCTGTCTTAAACAAACCAAAATAAAAAAACAAAGGCCTGGTATGATTCCAGCCTTTGAGAGACAGAGGCAGTGAGACTCTGTTAAAAAAAAACAAAAACAAAAAACAAAAAAAAGGATGTGTCCTTAGGGTTTAAGCAGTTAGTAGGTGTGAGGTGTCCAGAACTGCACTGGAGGCAGGGGTGAGGACCCAGGAACATTAGCCGCCATTGCAGGCAGCAAACCCGCTCCCCCTTCTTCCATTACCAAGCCCTTCTTTAGGTTCCTCTGCTGACTGCTCTAGTAGCAGTGAGGATGCTATGGACTTAAAGTGGTGAACCTTGCTGGCTCATCCCTGTCGCAAGTCTCAGAGTGTGTTCATCTGAGAGGCTCAGGGATAGCATCACTAGCTCTGTGCGTGACCTTTCAGCCTGCCTCGTGGTTACAGAATGGCTGCCACAGCCCCAGACCTCCCATGTGACCCTTTGGATGTAGAAACCTTGTCTAGCAGACCTTCATGTAGAATGATATAGAACACCTGTGTCTAAGCCCACTCCAGTGCTCAGGGGTACGATGTAGCCAACTACTACCACCGAGATTGGAGTTCTTCTGAGAATGGGACAGCAAGGCCAGGGGCAAAAAGGCCTCTGTGATGTCTGATGTATCTTCCTCCTTCACTGCTCGTGGCCTTGCCTGCTTTCTCTTGTGTTTCTCTTCATGTAGGAAGATGGCATGGTGCTCTTCAGAAGCTGTGTCCTTGGGGACTTCTCCCTCAATGCTGCCACTCAGGACCACCGTGAGGGAGCCAGGCCTTGTGCAGGTAGCCGTCATTTGGGTCTGTGGCTCATCTGTGTCTTCTGAACTTGCCTGGAGCTGATTGGGGCAATGCCACTTTCATCGTGTTATAGTGTCATGTGACACTCTTCCTGAGATAAAGATAAATGGCCACCCCCCCCCCCCCCGCAAGCAGAGAACCAATGACAGCCAGCGTAAGACTCCTGCTGAAGTCTAGTTGCAGAGGTTGCTTACAGAAACAGAAGTGACTCAGATATTGCATCACTGTGGTTTGAACGAGATGCCTCCACAGGCTTGGACGTTCGAAGACTTGGTCCCCAGTTGGCGGTGCTGTTTGGGGAGGTTTAGGAGGGACGGCTTGCTAGAGGAAGTGTGTCACTGGGGTTGGGCTTTGGGCTTTAAAAGCCATGCTGGAGAGATGGCTCAGCAGTTGAGAGCACTGGCTGCTCTTCCAGAGGTCGTGGGTTCAGTTCCCAGCGCCTACATGTCGGCTAATTGTCTGGAACTCCCATAACCTGGGATCAGTCATCTTCATGGCAATGCACATAAGATAAAGTTAAATGAATTGGGGGAAAAAAAGCCAGGCTATTCTCAGTTCACTTTCTGCTTCATGCTTGTGGTTTGAAATGTGAGTTCTCAGCTTGCTGCTGCAGCCATGATGCCCTCCCTCTGCCAAGCTTCCCCACTGTGATGGGGATGAACTCTTATCCCTCTAGAAATGTAAGCACACAAAACCCTTCTTCTATAAGTTGCAAGGAGGTGCATTAGAAGAGCTGGAGGAAGAAAAAGGAAAGGAAAAAATGATGTAATCATATTTAAATTAAAAAATCACTGGAATCCCAAAGATATTCAGACACCTTAGTTTCCATGGCTGTTGTATCAAGCTGCCACAGACATGCAATGTGACTTTGCAGGTCTCTTTGGTTGGAATCAAGGTGTCCACTAGCTGCATTTTATTCTGAAGTTTCTTTAAAACAACACAGTTCTTTGCTCTTTTATTTTTTGTTTTTGACCTTTGCTAACTTAGGGCTGACCTCAGTCCAGGAGCTGGGAGCACAGATGTGTGCCGTCATTCCTGGCTGCCTTGGACTTCTCCAGCTTCTAGAAGTCACCCAGGGCCTGTGGCTCATGCCCTCCTCTTCCCATCATCAGCAAATCCCACAATACTGGGATGAAGCTTTCTCACGGGCACCTCATTCTGACTTTTCACCCCTCTTCTTGTCAGAGTCATTGTGACTCTGGTGGACCCAGTGGAATACCTCAGGAACAGCCCCTCTCTCCAAGTCCTCAGCTTAATCCCATTTGCAGAGTAAGACGACAGCATATTCACAAGTTCTGGCCATTTGGATGTAGACATCCTTGAGGGGATATTATTTCGCCCACTACAGGGGAGAAATAATATTTTAGAAATAATGGTCTTTCACGTTTGCTCTGTCCCCAGCAGACTTACAGATTTGCCAATATCACCACACCTCAACCAAGACAAAAACACTCCTGCAAAGTGAAAGGAATCCAAAGGAAAATGGATTACTGCATACTGCAAAAAGATACAAATAGTAGCTGACTTCTCACCAAAGATGATTGAGGGCAGGTGCTGGGCACATGGGAGATGTGGGAAAGAGGACAGGGAGGGTTCAAGGTCATCCTACCACATCATCTCTTTGAGGGCAGCAAGGTCCACCACTTTAAGTCCATAGCATCCTCACTGCTACTAGAGCAGTCAGCAGAGGAACCTAAAGAAGGGCTTGGTAATGGATACATGAGACTCTGCCTCAAAACAAACAAAAATGGGAACGGTGGAGGCCATCCCCAGTGGAATAAGGTCTTTAATGTGATCAGGGTGGGGAGACTGCACACACCCAGGAGTCCATTAACAGCAAAAGAGATCATTCCTGATTAAAGGTGGGATAAAGGCCCTTCTAGATAAACAAAACTAAGATGACCTGCAGTTTTCAGCCCCGAGCTTCAAGAAATACCAAAAGAGGGTCTTTGTACTGAAAATAAATAAATATTGATGGAACTCAGTTCTTCCTAGGTGAAGGTGATGCTGAACAGGTGGGTAAACATGAAAAGCAATGTAAAGGAAGAGTTGTAATATTTCATCTCACAATGGTCACCCTGGCATAAAAGATGTCATGCCAGCTGGGCATTGCGGTGCATGCCTGTTATCTGAGTACTTGGGAGGTGGAGACAGGGGGATCTGGAAATCAAGGCCAGGGTCAGCTATATGAGAACATACCTCTAAAAGGGGAAGACAAAACTAAAGCTAGACGTGGTGGCTAGCACCTGCACACGCATAACGCGGGAAATAGAGGTTGGGATGGTCAGGAGTTCAAGGTCATTAGTTTCATAGCAAGTTTGAGGTTAGCCTGGACTACATCCGACCCTGTCTCAAAAACAAACTAAACAAACGTCTAAAAAAGGTAGATGCCTGGCATGGTGACTAAACTTGTAATTCCAGGACTCAGGAGAGTGAGGCAGGATGATCACTGGGAGCTTGGGGTCGGCCTGGATTACAGTAGGCCACTGTGTTTCAAAGAAGCAAACAAAAAAGGTAAAGGAGAGAGAGAGAGAGAGAGAGAGAAGGAATGGAAAATGAAAAAAGGAACACAGTGGGGTACAGTTCAGTATCTAATTAATCTTTTTGTTTTGTTTTGTTTTCTGAGACAGGCTTTCTCTATATAACAGTCTTGGCTGTCCTGGAACTCACTCTGTAGACAAGGCTGGCTTGAACTCACAGAGATCCACCTGCCTCTGCCTCCCTAGTGCTGGAATTAAAGGTGTGCACTACCACCACCTGGCCCTAATTAATCTTAATGGCAGCTACAAAGGCCATATTTGCAATTTCACAAGTCTCAGGTTAGGACTTTGATACGCCTCTTTGAGGGACATGCAAACACACAGCTATACTAAACACCCTTGGTTCTCCTGGATTCTGCCACTTTTAGTGTCCAATGTCCTGTTCTCTCAACAAGTTTCCTTGATCTAAAAACACTGACTGGGTTGTCTTGGTCACCCTGGAGGCAGGGCAGGGCTAGCTGAGGACAGAGGAGGGAGAAGACTAAGCAGAAGGCAGGCTCAGGACCAGTTTCCAGCTAGAGGTCCTAGGACTTCATCTTTGACCCACCTTGAAGTCAGGGCAGCCTTTGGGTCTATAGAGTCAGAGCAGAGTAATGGTCAGGGTTTGGGTGGCTCTGCTATCTAGGCAATGACCAAGGTAAGTAGCCGCCCTCAGCAGCTAGAGGACAGATAAGGCCGCTCTGGACAGAGCCAAGCACACATCTAGTCACTTGTCCTCCTTGGCATGGCATGCTTTTTCTTTTGCTTTATAAAATCAACATGCCAACTCCTGTTCACCTTGGTAAGTACACACATGTCTACCCAGGTGAAGAACCCTCCAACCCATCTGTATGTCTGTATGGACATATCTGTATGGAAAATCTTGCCTATCCCTGGAGCTCCCGAAGCCTCAGCCCTGGGATGTGCTCGACACTCCTCTTGCCCAGTCCTCCCTGGAGCCGACCTGTCAGTGCTATGTGAGGAATTTCTGCCATCTACCCTTCGCTTTGATGACTGACTGTTTGTTTGTTTGTTTGTCTTTTTGTTTTTGAGACAGGGTCTTATATAGCCCAAGTTGGTTTTGAACTCACTATGTAGCTTGATGACCTTCTGGATTCTCCTGCTCTACCTTTCAAGTATTGGAATAGAGGCGTAAGCCAACATGCCAGCCCAGCCAGACATAGCTTCCTAACTCACTTCCAGCCACTTTTCTCTCCCAGCCCTACTCTTCAAGGTAGGCTCCACGATTCTACCCACACAAATCTCATCCTCAGGCTCCCTTGCTTTGAAGCCCCAACACCAGAGTTCCAGCATGCTACACCTCTCCATCAACTGCTTATTCTTCACTCTCAGCTGCCCAACCATGGCAGCTCCTCTAGCATGCTGACCTCATGCCTGGTTCTGTGAAGCCAAATCTTGGGGCTCTGGTGGTCTTTACAGAGGCCTCTTCCTGAAACTCTATCTGCATGCCACCCCCTCCTCAGTACTGCTCTAGTAGGGGCGATCGATTCTAACAGCCCCGTCCGTCACCCTTCCTCTTCCCGGTCTGAAGACAGCATACTGTTTCCAGCAGTGCCTGCCCCTGCCCAAAGAGAAGGGCAGATAGGAGGATCCAAGCACTGACAGACTCCTGGTTCTCGATATTTGGAGGTTGAGCAGGCAGGGCAGATACAGCCAAAGTCAAAGGTCTTGAAAGTGCGACTGTGAGGCTGGAGGTGGGGGTGGACCCCTTTGCAGCTCAGGTGTTTAGAACTGGGGAAGATGGATTGGAGATGTCAGAAGCCAGGACCCACGATGCCCTCTGCTGGGCCGCCCCTCCCCTGTCCAGTAGGACAGAGGCGTCTCCCTCTCCTTGCTGTCCTTACTCGCTAGCAGGCTTGGACCAGGCCATCAGGATTCCCCTGATTGCATTCTTTCATGCCAGTGCCTTTTCTACAGCAAACGTCTGCTAATGCCTCCTTTATCACGGAATTAGGGGATTTGAGGCTGATTGCACAAAGGGTCCTCGATAGCGCGGTAATCAAACGCCAATCGGCCCCATCTCAGGCAGGCAGGGGAAGAAAGCGAGCACCGGGGATTAGTGCGGGTTCGCTGCCAGGCGGGGCCGAGATAGCATCGGCGCGGCTGCAGGCGAAGCTTCGGGAAGGGCTTCAGCAGGCCGAGGAGAAAGGCCGGCTTAGCGCCTCGCACCGAGGATTCTGAAACCATTAGAGGGGATTAACACCTAGGTTAATCTGCTTTGGCCGCTCAATTGTCACAAGCAGGAAACATTCCTGAGTTGGAGAGACCTGGGGTCTCAGTTTCCCCAGCAGTGGCATGTTTAAAGGCAGAGGTAGAGAGAGGTCCTTGGAAGAGCCCAATGAGTGGATCTGGGCAGCTGCCAAGTGTGAAGCCCAACTGGTCTTTGGTTCACTGCTACCCTCCTCTGTGGACCTCAGGGAATATAGCATACAGCCTCTGTCCTTTCTGTCCCAGGCAAAAGGAAGGACATCCCTTGCCCCTTTATGGACCCAAGCCATAGTTAGGCCCCAGTTTTCCTAGTCTGGGTTCCTCAAGAAGGTGCACATACTTCCCATTGTGCAGGGTCAGGAAGCAGGCTGCAAGCTGG